ATGTTTCGCGCATCTTCCTTAAGTCTTTCAAGATTCATCGCGCCAAAATTACGCTGCACAAGAATTCTCGGCTTTGCCTTGGGTGGTCGGATAGCATAAGAGAGAAATATCAAGTCATGACAGGAAAAAGCATCAGCGGAATACTGACCATGGCTGATGACATGATCAGTAGAAGAGACTAGGATAAGATCAAGAAGAGAGGGAGTGCAGTTAGGGAAGTGATGTGTAGCATCAAGTGTTAAGAGTGATAAGTTATTACAGTCCACAATTCTGCGTAGTGAAGAAGAGCGATGGTCATTTTTCATCAAGCAGGTATTGAAATCGCCCATTATTAATGTGTGGCTATAAGAGGGAGATAAGTTTTCTTGTAATTTTTCAAAAGAGGAAAAGTAATTAGTACGTAACGAGGGAGAATAGTAAACACCAAGTAAAATCTTCTCATGATTAATTACTAGTTCTATAAAGAGGTGCTCGCCAGCGTCCGGTGATGGGGGCTGTGACGACATGTTTACAATGGTAAAGGGAATGTGCTGTCGCAGATATATGCCAACACCCCCCCACCACCGATCGCACGGTCATTCCTTATGAGATTGAAACCAGGAAGAGTATATGGTGTAGAAGGTAAGCACGGTTTTAACCATGTCTCTGAAACTAAAATGGCGTGAATGTTCTTGCAATCAAAGGTCGCCAGTATATCAGGGAAATGAGCTGGAATACTCTGGGCATTGATATGAACTACATTAAAATTCCGCGGAGCATTAGAAAATTGGTACTGAAGATTCTCATGGAGTGAGGGTATGCTAACGTAACTAGAATCAAGACTGTTTATCGAGTAAAAACTGTCATCATCATTATTGTCATTTGGTTATCTACACATTACACATGCTGATTTTACCCCACGCAGAAAGGGGTTCTTCAGAATCAGAGGTTTTTTCCTTCAACGGCACTCACTCAGTGAAAAGTAATGAGAGAATGCCCAATTACGCCGAAATATAGCATCAGATGACACAACATCACTTAATAAAAATACTCACCATACATTATTTAATTGTACCATAATTGTTTTTAAAAGTTTGCGATCATAAAATTTTTAACTATAAGTGGGGGGGGGGGGGGGGGGGGACTCAATCTCAATTACAATTAAAATTACTAAGCCGCGATAACTGTTTTCGTAAATCTAATGAAAAAAATTTTAACTAGCTGTCTCGAAAGGCTTTGTCCTGTCAACATTTTTATGATTTGTTTTTCCGAATTCTCTATTTGCCAGGCAATTATTATAATTTTTATAAACACTTTCATGCTGTTTATGTAGATGCAGTAATAATTTTACAGAGAATTAGTCGCAAAACTTTTGTAACTCCTCATTGCTTTTGTCAATTTAAATAGTTATGCTTATGCTTATGCTATGTTACGACGACGACGAATTACGATTTCGAAACGGGGAATCCCCGAGGCCTGAGGACATTTGAATATCGTACATTATCAGTTCATAGCACTTTAAGCGTGCACAATAAAGTTGTTGGCATCAGGGGACAGATTATAATCTATTCCAATTATTGATATCAATGTTATTTAGTATCTTTCAGTGATATTTACCTATGGCAATATTTTGACAAATAAAGAATAATTTATTATTATAAGAGCGATGTCCCTAAATCTAAAAGATGTAGGACGTATCATGTTTTATTTTAAGCTTTTAATGGCCTGAGGAAATTTCTTGGCCAACAGCAGGAAATCTGAGGATCTATATTTTTGACTCTACTGGCGTTGCACACGACAACTTAGTAAAACAAATTATCGCTCTGATTTAAACAAAAAACTTAAAGAAAACCGTGATCTAAAAGAAGATAAACTATAATTGTATTTTTTTTTCCTTTAAAAAGTCCGACAACAGTCTATCTACCGAAGATTGATATCGCCTAGTACTTAGGTAGTCACTCCATGTTAAAAATTGAGGTTCAGCCATGTCGTAATAGACTGAGCCGAGCTGGCCCCAACCTAATTTGGGCGAAGGCTCGGAAGAGGAGAAGGATTCTTTAAAATACAGAAAGATTGCGATGCAAACGAAAACATGAAATTTAAACGAGAAGTGATTTGGACGGGGTCTTGAACTCTCCTGGTACGTTAGTCTGTACAATGACAATTTAAAATTTAAACTGTTTATAATCTAAACTTTAAATTAACTTTAAGTTATACGGGCCTATGAAAATTAAGCAAAACCGAAGTATGGTTGAAATTCTATCGTCAAGATTTCTCTACTTATTATGTAATAGTACTTTGTTGGCCTTTAAGTCGTAGATAAATGCACTACCGGAAGGCCACGAGGTCACACAAATAGTTTACTTAGGTGCATTCAAATAACGTTAATTTTACAATATTTAGAAGAAAAAAGCGTTCTTTCTTCTCGACTTCGAAATCCTGCGGTTAAGCAATTCTGAGCTGTTGTGTGTATGTCACAATCCTAGGTGGCTAACGAGCAGATCTGAATGCCTGCAAGTCAGGACTCACAAGCGTGTTGTCGGCCTTCTTTTCTTGAAGGTTTGAAGGTCGTATCGGTCCAGAAATACCGCAGGCAACAATCTATTCCACAGATTGGTTGTGCGAGGCAAAAAGTACTTGAAATCACACAGTTCAAAGTTTGTCTAATCCTGTCAAATTCTACGTTTTCAGAATAGGAAACGTTGTTTGACACGACTAAACTAAGTTTTGTTATTTTTTGTTAAGTTTAGAGAGTTTTCGAACAACAGAATTAACACCAATGGATAGAACAATGACGGAAAACTCCTGTTAACTACTTTTCCTTTTTATATACTTTTAAATTTTACATTTCCTTCTTTAAGTGCTCGGTTGACGAATATAGGCCCCTATTACATAAATTGGGAATTAGAGTAGAAAAAAAATATAGTAGCGCCACTGGATGAAAACTTAAGAAGTAATCTCAAACTTAAACTTTCTTTATTTCATAAAATATCCAAAATTGTTTGAAATCGTCTTCCATGTAGACTCTAAAGTCATAGATCAACACACACAAAAGCAACAATCTCTGTTTTTTCAAATAGTAAGCAAATAAATTTAACAAAAATCAATCCCATACAAAATCTATGATATGCCTGTGCCGATCTACAACCGCCCGCTTCCAAGGGGTTGAGCCTTATGAGAAGAAAGGGCAAACAAACTCATGGCCACTTTTTTTGCAATTCACAGGTAGATACAATGGCGCTATTAAATATACCACAACATTGTTTTGATGTGTGCTAGTATGTCCGTTATTAAGGACTAAAAGGTAAATAGGTAAAGGTAAAAGGTAATAAGTTGGTGTGGACATGTTCTGCGGAGGGATAAGAAAAATGTGGCAAAGAAAGTGTTAGGCATGGGAGTTGAAGGGTACAAAGAAGAGGAAGACCAAAGAAAAGGTGGGTGGACTGTGTGAGTGAGCATATGGTTAGGAAGGGAATAAACAGTAAGAAGACGAAAGATAGAGTAGAATGGAAGAAACACTCACTGCACCGACCCCAAATAAAATTGGATGATGATGAGTAGGAAAAATGTAGGCATTAATAATTAAGCCTGAACTTGGATAGCGAAGCATGAACATATTTTTGTAGGCATAAATTTAGAAAATATTTAATCTGTTACAGTAAGATTATCTACTGTTACGTGGGTGAGACCAAAATTATAGTTGGTAGGATGTTATTTGTTGCATATTACGTATCTATCAACCTCTTTAAGAATGCAGGCGTAGGTATGTGCATGCATTGAGACGAAACTCTACAAGGTCAATTAGTACTGACTTATCGTATAATACATGCATTAAAGTATTACCTACCGTATTTGACGAGTAACAGAGACTATATTAGGTTCTAGTAGCTGATTATACGCCAGTCGGTATCAATATATGACCGAGTTCTGTCGCGTTTCTTAGTTATTTTATAAATTGGTTCAATTGGTCGACTTTAATGATCGACTCGACACTGGGCATTATAAAATTTTGCATTTAAATCTGTAAGTATTTATTGCGTGTATATTAAACCAGTATAATAACCATCTGTTTGTGTTCCCCTTACATCGTAGGCTTCTTAAGGAATTTTATTGCTATAAACTTAAATTAGGTACAAATGTATCTACATCTGTTGCTGAAAGGTATATATTTTTTGGAATATAAACGTGCAAGAATACTTTACAATCCTTAAACCATTATTGTGGTATTTTATAGCAACTACACTTAAATTTAAAAAAAAACGTTATACCTATGCTTTATCTTTTAAGTGGCATGGCATTTATAATTATATGTATAGTTTATAGTTATAAATCTAGTATTACTGATTACATTAATTTTGTTTATGGTCACTGTCTTATGTATATGTACATATAATATTAATAACTTTACCCATCTCACAGATCCTTTAATCATTTGTCCTGGGTCCTGGGTGGGAATCGAGACCACGACCTCCGGCTTCGCAATCAGGGTCACTAACACCTAGACCAATTGGCCCGTCGAAAGCTGTTTTCGTATGAGCTTACCTTGCTATGTCCAGCTGTGGACTAAAGACTGTTGATGTTGATAAACCGTTTTTAGTTTGCGCTCACTGAGTAACTGAACTGATATGAAGTTTAAATAATCTGTTGGTGAGGCCCCTGTTGGCCTAGTGACTGCTAAGCCGGACGTCGTGGGTTCGATTTCCAAAGAATTGTGTGATCAAACAGGACAAACAATTGTGTGATCTGTGTCTGGATGTAATTTATCTGTAAAATGTATGTATTTAGAAATACATCAGTAAGTTTATAAGCAGTCTGGTTGCCATAGTACATGCTCTGCCTAGTTTGGAATCAGACGGCCGTGTGTGAGATGTGTGAATTTATTATTATTTTTATATATACAGGGTGTACAGACTTCTTTTGAAATCTGTTAAAAAACCTGCATTACACTGCCTTTGCAATAGATTTCAAGCTCTTTTTAAATGTAAATATTTAAGAAATAAACGTTTTGGTTCCTTTTTCAGATCAAGATGGGCTGCAATTGTGACTACGTGACCACAGGCGTAGCGGGCCTGGATCCTCATTATGACAACTGCATTTCGACGTGGAGTGAATTGCATCCGGGAAAGGAATACCCTAAGTAAGCAATTGATCATCATCACAATCTACATTCTCTAACCTGTTACCTTCCACTACTGGATAATTCTCTGCAATTGTCAGTCATAGCACTTTGTTCTCATGTAAATAGCTCCAGCCATAGTTCTTCATATGTAAGTTTGCGCTCTGTTTTCTCAAGGAGACACATGGTTCTTTGGCATTAGTTTCGATCTGGATATCTACTACATGTCTATATTCTCCTCTCTCTCTTGCTCTTTTCAGATATTTATCTCACATGACGGTAGGGTCACCTGTCTTCATATCCCTTCTTCTCTTCGATTTTTTTAATATCTCGTGTTCAGAAACCAGATCTACGAGTATATCTATATAGCTTAGCACTACACCTCTCCTCTTGTCTTCGGTCTATCTTTGATTATTTTATCAGGGCTGGATTATTTTAATGCTGTTCTCTACACCTGTAACTTTATTAAAGCGACATTATTACTTTTTTCTTACGACTACTCTCTAAATTTATTGCTTTAGGCTGCATACTTCTCAAGACACTGGTAAATACGCCACTGAATGGGGCAGGGTAAGCATTAGCTCGAATTTCTCAGGATATGCAATCCTGCAACTCAAATTGGCTATTCCCAGAATGTCAAACTCCTCTAACAGAACTAATATGTCATACTAGCTTAACTCCGCGGCACCGTCTGCGTGTATGTTTGTGCGTGTATACGGAGTGTGTGCGGCACCGTCTGCGTGAGTGTATACGGAGATCACTTTAACTTTAGATATATGTTTTTAAATTTAGAAGTTACACCTTCAATAAAGAATTGTTTAAGATATATTAACAGGTATAAACATCATTTCGGTAGTATAAATGGTGAGCCAACGAGCTTAAACGAGTTTAAACTTATACATTTCAAGAAATCCACTAACTTACTTAGGACATGATAACGAAATATGATTTTTCCAGAAACTCCGATGGCAGTATAAGACTGTTGAACGAGCACCTACAGGGTTTAGAAGTAGACATTCTGTATCATTTGGGCCTGGATACACAAAGCTACGATCTACCAGCCATGTTTGGCGATGTTAAAGTAAGATTTAACATGTTTCTCTCACTTTCATACACTATAGTTTATAGTTCTAGAGCTATCGGTTAGGCTTCTAGAGGGAAAAGGATAAAAGGAAGAATTCTCAGACCAGGTGATGATAGGTCGATCAGTAGACGTTGGGAAGTTGTATTCGGCGCATGATCTTTTATTACGGGACGCACGATGAGCAGTTACTGGTTAGTTCATGGGATAATTATCAAATAATGGCTCTGAATGTTTATTATTGTACGTGGATTTCAAAACATACTATTTTAATGTTCAGCACAAAACTAAGTCATCATCATCATCATGATTTACTTACTTCTGCTATTTTTAACCTTGCTAACTTGAAAACGAAGTGTTAAAAACTAATCATCAACAGCCTTTAATAGTCCACTGATGGACATAGGCCTCTCCTTAGAAAGGAGGTCCTGGCCTACTATACCACGCTGGCCAGAGGTCACACCCTTAGTTTTAGACCTGTAACTGTCATAAAAACGACCTTAATAAGTCATCTATATACTAATCAATATGAAAACAATAACTGCGTAACTGTTTAGGTTGTGGCTAGGTTTTAAATAGGCTGGCTAGGCTCTAGTGACATTTTGATCGCTTACCATCAAATAGGAAATATTCTTGTTTGTACCTTGTGCACATATTTTTTAACGACATTAAAGCTATTATTTATGATGTCTTTATAAAATAAATCAAAATTCCTATAATGATAGACTTAGGCCTTGAAAGGGAATGCAGGGGTTGCGCATGTGGACTCTGTACGCGTGATCACACTTTTCAAACCTTACTGTGTAGTGTGTGAGAGTTTAACATAACAATAATAATAATTATTTTAACACATAACGCCATCTAGTTTCAAACTAATCATAGCTTGTACTAGGAAAGCTAGATTGACTATTAGAATACTTATATACTTTATTTTTGTAAATACATACATATTATACAAAGAAAACACCCAAACTCTGAAACGAATATTTGCAGATCATACAAACATTTTTCCCTATCCTGGAATCGAACCCGAGACCTCAGCACAGCTACCACTGCACCACCGAAGCAGTGGAACAATTTAGGATATTGGTGGTGCTGTAGCGCATCAGACATGCTTTTGTATTGCACGACAGTCTGCTCGTTGCCCCTTAAAAACCTTCCAATGCGTTTTTTATAATTTATACATAATAACTTTAAATATAAATAATTTCCATTTTTTTCAGTTCGTATGCATTGGTGGTACTAAATATCGGATGCGAGAATTCGCAGAGTATATAGCCAAAGAATTAGACTTGCCGTGTAAGGGCAGTAAACTGGTCAACCTCACAAAACATTCGCAAAGATACGCTATGTACAAGGTTGGACCTGTGCTGTCTGTTAGCGTGAGTATTTTTTAATCTTATTTATTTTGAACAAGATGAGTGTATTTATACATAGCAATAGGGAAATTCTTAAAAATTGCTTGGGCTACGATGATTTGTAAATAATGATTAGAATTTTTAGATATTTTTCGACCTTAGAATATAAATTCTATTTAACGTTTGAACACGCTTTTATATATTTATAAACTTCTGTGTAACTGTAAATTGTTTCAACGTTGGAAAATTTCAAGTCTTTTTTTTGTTTGATTGTTGAATGATGTGTGTTGTTGAAATTTGAATTTGAAAACCTTCCACTATGAATGGCAAGGGAGACTGAAATTTATATCTTATATTAATGTTAAGACATTCCATAATTGGGCAGCGCCAAAAGCGGGATTTATGACATCAACAACGATTTGACCATTCTACAGATTCAACATTCTATGGATTTCTTAGAAAAGTAAACAGAGTTCCCAAAATTACTATCATATGGCTAAGAGTTGTTTATGTGTGATTTGTTTAAAATTTAATGTATCATAACCACAAAGAAAGTTCATATTGCTACGCGCATACTTAAAAGCACATTTTAAAACATTTACAATACATGCTTTTATCCAATGATATTCTAATAATTATTAAGAATTTTTAACTTTCATCACGTGCTACGTTTATTAAATGTACCAAAATCAAAAAATTCTTGCAGCATGGCATCGGTATTCCTTCAATGACGACTCTTCTGCAGGAGGTGATGAAGCTAATTTCATATGCGAAAATGAAAGATCCAATTATCTTCAGGATCGGTACCAGTGGGGGCGTTAGTATCCCCGCGGGATCTGTGGTGGTTTCATCTTTTGGTCTCAGCGGGATGTTAGAGAAGACTTATTCTATTGTAAGTAGTTTTGTTTAAAGGCAAGAATAATTAAGCTTTAGGTTGACTAGATCAATTACTACCAGGGTGCTTTTACAAATGTAGTAAAGGATTGATATAACGAAGCTCAAAGGGATTCGAAAGTATTTGTAATTGATGGCGGAGTGGTTAAAGCGGTCACTTTGCCGCTTCCTACTGCGCTGATTGTTGTGGGCACAACACTTAGTGTGATCCACAAATTGTTATTTTGAGTCTGGGTGTTCTTTGAGTCCGTTTCATGTATGTTTGTAAAGTCCCCAGCGACACAGGAGATGTTGCAAGTGCGAGAGTTGTCTTTTTAAAGAAAAAAATCATTAAAGTGTACGGTAATTAAATCTATTGATAATATATGATAATCATAATCTGGAACTGTCAGAAAGAATAAATAAAGTTAAAGATTCATTATTTTATCTGTAATTTGATAGTATTGCCATGTGGATAATAGAGACAAGTACGTCTCAGACAGAGATACGGATTGAGGTGCCTTTATAAAAAAAAAAACACTGGCTTCGGCTTTGCTTTAGTTTTAGATCGAAATACATAGGTATATCTATAAAAGAAGAAACTATTGTTATTATAATGTTACCTGTTATATTGAGGGAACTAATTTTTCTACTTAGAATTGTTTATTATTTTTGAATTTTTAATGCTCTTTGTCAGTATTGTTTGAAGTCGGTTCAACTTTTTTAAAATATAATGTTACCTGTTGTATTGAGGGTACTTATTTTAGTTTTTTTAGCAAGCTAGTCTTATATGAATTAAATATTTAATTAATAACTTGTACTGTAAGCACGTGTTTCTTATCTAAAAAATTGAACAAGAAAAGATAAATTGAATGCAGATACATAATAATTGACCTGTTGGTTTTATATCAAGACATTGACCTTGGTTCATTTTGTAAATGTATTATACTTCGCATCTGCACTAGTCAAGAATTACACAGAATTACTACAGAATTAATTTTTCCTGTTCACATATTATATGATCAAGGTCGTCGGTTGTATTTTCATAATACGAGTATACAGTAATCAATCAATCGTGGGAGAGTCGTGCGTTGGCATAAATGAGTCGTCTTAACCGGACTGATACCACGGCAAACCCGGTGTTAAGTGAAGACTCGTCCGTGTGGTGACGGATTAAGAAAACAGTGTCACCACCCCAATTCCTACACATAAAGCATTCTGATTCTGATTCTCGTGTGTCGTAAGAGCCGATTTAGGGAGCATACTACACGGGACAATAGCATCGAAAAGAGAAGGAAAACTTGACACAAACTCTAAACCAACCCGCCTGGTCAGCGTGGTATAGTAGGCCAAAACGTTCTATCTGAGGAGACGCCTATCTACAGCAGTGGACTCTTAAAGATGATGATGATGATAAGAAAGGTTACCGAACCCCAAACCCTCGGTGGTCACTTACAGGTTACATCAGGTGACTCGTCTGTTCGTTTGTCCTCATGTACCATAAAATACAATTATCTTTTATTTCATTAGACATTTATAGCAGTATATTTATAGTTTCTAAAGTAAAGGAATTCTTTGGATATTTGGAGGATTTACTATTAAAACAGTAAATATGAACTAAACAGAATTGTTGACTTATGTAAAAGGTCACATTTACTGAAGCTCGTGTTTGTCTTATTTTCAAACAGACGTAAAAAATGAAGAGGTTGACTGAATTTTTTGATGCTTGTTACTCCAGTTTGACCCTCATGTGTGTGAATCGGTTAGAAAAATATTTATTATTTTGAAAAGGCATACTTCTCACCTGGTCCCATTTAAATTAGAAGAAGTAATTGCACCCCTAAATGTAAAAATAAGGATGTGAGGTTACAGTTTTAAGTATGTTTCGATCACCACTGATAATAAAATAATCAGTGAACAATTATTATTATCGCAGTAGTAATATTCCTTTATACATAAATGAATGAATAAACGAAGAACGAATTAATGAATAATGAACGTTTATTTCACCTTAAACTATCAACACATTTATATATAGTTTATGGTTGCTAAATGTTTCTGTTCTAGACCTGAAGACAATATGTGTTCGGTATTAACATCTGTTGCTGAAGTGTATGTAAAACTAAATAGTAGATTAAAGTTACGTCCTTTTTCAATAGATGGAAGCGAAATTCATCGTTACGGTAAAATAGTTTAGTCACCACGACCCAGCTAAGATATCAGATTTAGAAGTCTCTTAGAAGGATGACTTTGTGATATTTACACTGACTTATTTGCTCTCAGCCGGTACTCGGCAAGATGCGCAGCATTCCGGCTAAACTCGATTCACGACTCTGCCAGGAAGTGCACTCGCTGGCTTCAGACAAGGACGACTTTCGGACATATATTGGAGGCACCATGGCTGCCGATGACTTTTATAGAGGTACGTTTAAGACAAAGTAAAATTGTGTTTATAATATCTCTGTTACAAAATTCAAAATTTCCCTCAAAAACACTTGCATCTGCCACATGCCTGCGTATACGCCACTAATCGATAAATTGACAGTTCTCTATAGTGCAATATAAGAAAGTCAGGTAGAAGTTAAAAAAAAAGAAAACCCGATAATGATTAAGCCTACAATTTAAATGCAGAATCTTTCTCGAAAAGTACAAGTTCCCTAACTTAATTGATGTCGATATCTATCCTTTGTCCTAACGACTACAAAACAACTAAAAATAACTTTTTTAATTGTTTTATAGTCGTTCGGTAATAGGACAAAGAATCACCTATGTTAAACTCTTAAGAGTTATGACAAGAGGCTCCAGATTTATATGTAGTTTAAATTTTAATACCAACTAACAGCTGCAAGCTGCGAACGTATCACTTGTATATAAATATATGCAATAGTAACGTAAGAATAGAAGTGACTATTTTAGCTTTTTAAATAAAATAAAGTAGTTAAGTCAAGGACACCTGTAGCTAAAAACTTTTGATATCTCTGAAATCTTACAACTTCTGCCAATTTAACTATTTGACCCTCTTTTATAAATGAAATAAATAATTATTAGCACATCAAACACACAACGCCATCTAGTTTCAAACTAAGCAGAGCTTGTACTATAAAAGCTAGATTGGCTGATAGAATACTAATATACATTTTTTTTTTGTAAATACATACATATTATAAATAGAATACCCTATATGTACGTTCCATAGCTCGTTTATCTCAAAAATTTCAGGTCAAGCGCGACTAGACGGACCATTCTGCGATTACACAGAAGCCGATAAAATGGAATTCTTAAACACCCTCTGTAAGTTAGGTGTAAGAAACATTGAGATGGAGGCGACGGCGTTCTCGGCGTTTACTAGAGAAGCAGGAATTAGGGCTAGTATTGTGTGTGTCACGTTTTTGGATAGACTATTGGGTGACCAGGTAAGTGGGATTTAAACATTTAAAAATATATTATTATTTTAATGTGGTTTGCAGTTTTTTTAATGTGATTTTGTAAGCTAAAATATCTCAAACATTTATTGTAATAAACTCAAAACAAACACAACTAGTTTTCAAAAGCATTAGTTATTCGTAAATATTGTACATTAAAAGAAAATGCATCCTGATGTGCCTCAATCAATTAGACCCACTCCGTTAAAAGCAACAAAATAATATATTAACACCGTTTTTTGAGGCCGTGATAAGGATGACTCTTCCAAGGTATTTATAATATATGTAAGGTTAGGAATTTTTTTTTAATAGGGGCGTAAAAATATTTCAAATTAATTTTGTATTTTCGTTGTCAGGTGACACCAAGCAAAGCAACAATGATGGATTGGCAGAAAAGACCGATGATTGTGGTCGGCAGATACATTAAAGAGTACATTAATAAACAATAAGTTCATAGTACTTGGATCCCTAGACTACTTCGTAGTCAAGCAGAGGAAAAAATGTATTTTTCTGGTATTACGGTACCACAAAAATCGATTCAATTGCTACAAATTTTAAATTCGAAATTTTAATGTTGTTTTTATTAGAAAACTCATTTCATAAAGTTATATAAGTCTATGGTGCTCCCAAATTTTATTTCATTAATACAACTTCGTTTCTTTTGTTTTATTATACAACACTGTATAAGCGAGACTGTTTCTTAGTCGTAAATGTAATTTTAGTGATACTCAAAGTTAAACAATTGAATATATTAATTACCATTTAATATAACTATAAAAACTATAAAATCAAATATAAATATCGATCCAGCGTTTGTCGTTTTATTTCGAAGTCTGTGACTGTCTTTGGGGAAGATCATAATATTGGATACGGGTGAAAGACTTATGTTATGTTAAGTTAATATAGGCATTCATTAACATAACGAATACTTGTCACATTAAGCATCTACACGAAACAACCACTTCAATATAAAAACAGATTTATGCAAATATTAAATCATTGGATCTGTTCTGATGCTGTGTGCTTACTTTATGGGCAAAATACCAATTTATAACTATACAAAAAGCAGTATCGAGCAAATCTAAAGAATTAAATAAGTACTTTAAATATGAAAATGCTTTACAATGCCATACAAAAACGGCAGTACCACTTGTTTTATTTAAAAGGATAAAGTACTAGATAGATTGCAGTCTTTAATGAGGCATTTAAATTAAGAAATTAACTACTAGCATGTATTGAGATAGGTAATATACTTCATTTGTATGTACAAAATCATTAACCAGGTTATTTATTTCGTCAACGTTTCATATATATCACACAACACTGCGGGATTAAACATGTTCGAAGAATAAGTCCACCTGAACACGTCGTAAGCGTAAGGGTTCCATATTTTTTTACTTGGAACCGGTCGAATCTTTTTAGAATCATAAACTTAACTCCTCATTCTGCGAGAACTCGATAACTGTTTACAATTACAAAGCAATAAATTTGCACTGTAAAATAAAAATAAATGTTATTAGATAATAATCTTATAGTAGAAAATATATTAGAAGAGGGGCGCAGCGAAGAAATAATACCTATATATCTAGGAATCAAAATATACATAATATATACAGACTGAAGCCACAACGATGGTATGTAACGCATTCGCAACGCACGCTGGGTATGGTTGCTTTCGTGAGCACCTGAATTGGATTGAACGCGAGGTGAGGGCGCCATGCCAGCACTGCGCATCCGACTGGGAGCCTAGTTAGATGCAGCGTGGATTCGGGGGGACCTGGAATCACATCGTCCGGATCCTCGCTAGACTAAGGCAGCTGAGTTCAACCATTGGGGTGGTTTTTCGTGGGAAGACCACATGCTACAGCGTCCCTAAGGAGCACGAGGTCTGAAGGGTTTTTCTACTCGTCGAAGAAATCATGTGTATCACCATACGTTATTTTTTATCACTCTTTCTGTTTAAAAATCTTACCTGCAATTTCTATAAGAGCTGAGCCGGCGAGGGCTATACTGTCAGGGCAAGACTTTTTGTTGGGTTGTTGAGTAAGAACTAGGATAGCTGTGATAAAAGTAACAACCACGGCAATGAGTACCGCGACCATGAACGTCATGGTCGGTAGTCTTACTTCCTGTAAACAAAATAAAGATTCTTATACGTAGTAAACTAGATTTAGTCTATAGCGCTAGTTTTGTTATTTAATCAAAAGGATGAGAATGGATCTAAAACTTATTAAGACCACAATATCTCGTGAGATAATGCCAAAAATAAGTCGCAGGACAGCGAGCCAGATTTAAGACCAAAAGGAGCTCGTAGCTAAATGGTAACCGAGTAGGTTAAAACATTGCAAAGTTAAGCAATCCTAGGCTGATGGGATGGGTGACTATTCTCAGCACATTGAGATCCCTCTGTGGGATCCCACGTTAAGCCGTCGGTCCCGGTTGCCATTCGAAAATCTGTAGCAATCGGTCTGCCTAAAAAAATCGAAGTTCAGCCGTATCGTATTAGACTTGACGCCGACCCCAACCTAGTTTGGGAAAAAAGGTTTGGAGGAAGTATGTCTGTTTAGTACATAAAAGAAATATTTTTATTACCAACCGTACATAAGCCATAAATGAAAAATATGCCAGCAAATAGCGCAAGTAAAAACATGAAAGCACCGAGTCCCTGAATTATTCTTATTGGTGCTGTACCCTCGTAGCAATGTTCTACCGCACCTGATGTACCAGGAACCTGTAAATAATAATGACATCAAGAAACTCTGTAATAATCCCAATATTTGTTACCGTATTACCTAAAGTGTTTTCTCCTTTAAGCCGACTGGTCCTTACGAGGGAAATTGACCACGACCCACTAAAGATGAAAAATAATAGAAAAAAATCAATATCCATATAACAACTATAAACTGTCGATCAGTAGTGACTAAAGAAAAACGGCAAGAACTAGAATTAGCCCTAGATGAGATAAAATAGGACATAACTGGTATATACTGAAATGAGAAGATTTAGGTAAAAAATAGATGGCCATGAAAAATTCATATAACAACATGTAGGGGAGATGCCTGGATTGTATGGAGTCGGATTCATAATGAAAAGAAACCTTGCTAAAAATATACACGAAATAATGGAAATCTTAGAACGGGTTGCACTTACGGGTATCTACATAAAATTACCCGTAGATGAAGAAGAAGAACAAGTATGGTCCATATTCATATCCAAGTAAATTCAAATAGAAAAAACGTCATAACCCTAAAAAAAAAAACTATGCGGTCCCTTAATCCATCATAACAACTGCATTCAAAAGCGTAATAGTTGTAAGTGACTTTAATGGGCAGATTGGCAAACAAAAAAGAGACGAGGAACATATTATAGGAAGTCAAGAATTTGGTAATAAAAGCAAGAACGGCTTAGGAAAATAGATCCTTTGCTATAGAAAATAAATTGGGCATCTTGAACAGTTTTTACAAAATTCAGTTCCATTTCTCTGAGAAATTAAAATTGCTTAATATCGAGACATTTTTTAAAACTTTTGTATTGTTTGACATAATATAGTCAATCGTGTCTTTATACCTGCCATCTGCCTCTCCAAATTTTAACTTACATCGATAGAATGGTAGGAGCAAAACTATCAAGGATACACGTTAACAGAGCAAGAAATTTTTACAGTAGTATGAAAAGCCATTGAATGCACAGGTAACACTGATTTACATCTTAAAAACTTAAAAACATCTTTACAAGGTATGGATAAAGAACTTTTATAGACTCAAGAAAAATAGAACAGATTACTTAAGCACCTAAAAACTTAAACTAAAAACTGAAACTACAGAAATAAACCTTGTCTAGTAGAACAGCAATATCACTCAAAAGTAAGCTAGTACAAAAACGGAAATAACTTTTACAAAAAGAAAAAGCAATAAAAATAATGGCCGTAAGATAGCAGAAATAAGCAACAAGAAAAGCGAACACTGAAAAAACATACAGCAAAACGGGAGGAATAAAAAAATCTATATCAAAGTAGAAAATGGGAACAAATAATCCATACTTTTATTATAAAAATGAAAGTGAGTTTGCTCGTTTATTTGTCACGCCTAAATCAATAAACCGATTTTAAAAATTCTTTCAGCAGTGGAAAGCTTCATTATCAACGAGTAACATAAGCTACTTTTTACCGCTCGACCGGAGTAATACAACAGCCTCACAGGAAACCAGCGTTAAGCAATACCTTCGTTGCTTTTCACTGAGTGAGCAAGGTGCAAATTCTCTCTACCCCGTTATTTTTTTGGACAGGGCATATAAGGGTTGGCATCTTACTTGTATATCTTGAGTCACAGGTAGCCATGAGTGGCTCGTTTACCCCTTTTCATAAAAAAGGATTAAGCGCATTATGAGAAATTCATTAAGGAAGTTGGGATGTTTGGAGAAAGATCTGTTAGGTCTATCTGTTACAGAATGACCATCAACAAAATAGGCTAAATGATCTCAATGTACAGGATATGATCCAACAGTTGTCGACTGTTATACTACAAGACCAGAAAGATTAAATTACAGTAATTTACTGCCAATTTTGTGAGGCCAAGAGGTAAGGAATTTTAGTATAATTCGAAAGATTTTAACTTAAATATAAAGGGGGACTGTAGATGCCGGAATTATTTAACTTTCTCGGGGGATCTTGAGCTTCTTCGTGAATCACTGCTGTTGATGTTGACGTTGGTTTGGTGTAAGAGAGTAGTCACAGTATAAGGGTGAATTTGCTTATCATCGTGCTATATCCTTAACGAAACTCGTATGTAGTTGCCCTAACGTAAACAAGTTACTACGTGAACTATACAGCTGGCTTTCAATTAACATTCCTAAAATTTAGAAAAATGACGCCTTAGTGGGGCGTTTAACTTACCAAAATGACTATTGAGAGAATGGATATTATGTAACAAGCAAGTTTCAGCTCAATACAGAAGCAACACTTTTTTAAATTTAAGTCTTCTAGTCGTTCCATAATTTAGATTTTTTGAATAAAACACAACTATTACATTGATATAAAAAATTGATCACTCTTGTAAGACATCTGTCAGAGTTTCACAGTGTAAACATGTCTAAAAGTCATCTTGTGTAGTCTTTGGCCAACTCCTTGGCCCGAGCATTAAGATAGATGGTTTGATATGTTGTAAAAGCTACTTATAGCCCATAGTTTACCAATGTTATCAGACAGTAAGCCCTTGCTGGGAGTACAAAGTCATCAACATCCTAACTTTACACTTTCTGATTCTGGCTCTGCTGAGTGCTGAGATATGTTCAGCGGAACATTATTCTGTTACACTAACTGTGCATGTTGCTCTACAGATTCGGGTCGAATATAGTTAGTGATTGATCATGGTTACTCTGACGATGGAAACATTTGGGGATAACCTGTATTCACGAAATCTTTTTATCATTATTTACAGCTTTTCGAAACATCATTGCATGTAGAATGTTGCATTATTACTTAAAGTGGTTCTAGAAGAGCAATATTCCGCAAGAGCAATAGTAGTTTTGGCCGGAGAGATGGTAAATTACCGCTGTAGTACCCGTACCACAGGGTGGGTGGGGGATAAAGTTATCTATCGTACTCACAACATAGATTCCAGCTAAGGAGGAATACGGCCAGCAATCTCCTGAATTATATAAGTCAAGTAATGCCCACGATGGTTTGAGTTCAAAAAGGCGTTCGATTTAGTCGACAATGACGTGCTGCTTCAGAAGCTACCAGGCGTCGGTTTTATTCCCCTTTTACTACAGTTCTTTAGTAGTCACATGGTGAACCGAGAGCAGTTTTTGGACTATGCGGTATTCCGCTCACAACAATATTTTACCTGGTCTGGTGTGAGTCAAGGCAGTAAATTGGGACCTCTGTAATTTATATTAATGATAAATAATCTGCCAGATGATCTTAAACTGTCTTAGCAGGACATAGATAACGCTGTGACTTGGAGCCAGGAAAAACGTTTGAAATTTGACCCTAATAAATGTGTCACCATTACTTTTTTTCTCGTGGACGTTATCTCTCGTCTCGATGGTTAGGGTCCCAACAGTCTACATATAAGCCTTAACACAGAGCTAACGTTTCGTGTCCACATAGTCAAATGCTGTAAAAAAGTATACAGGAATCTAGGTCTTGTACTGCGCATTGTTCAATCTTCTACCGACATTAAAGCCATAGTCGTTCTATAAAATGCTTTCATCGCGTCATCGTCAACGCAGTCATCTGGTTTTCGCATGAGATTAAATATAGTCTCATGGAGCGAGTTCAAAACAAAGATTGTGAGATTTTTATATTTGCGACAGTACGGGATTATCCATTTTACTCAGTTAGGCATCCGACTCTGTTCGTCTTGGGCATGGTCGGATATAACGAGCTTAGAGTTAGAAAGGACCTCAGTCTTGACTCCTATACATTTAATATACTAAGGGAAAAATCCACGACAGCAATATATTAGGATTGGTAGCTGTACACTGAGTGAGTTTACAAAGACAAAATTACATATTATTTGTTACAAGATACAAATAAAAAGTTATATATGTAGTTACATTATCGTATTAGGATATACCTCTAATAATAGTAGTAAGTGTAGATACTAATAAATAAATAAATTTGACTGCACGGATGGCGTAATGGTTTAAGCGGTCGCCACGCCGCTTCCTACTACGCCGAGTTTTGTGGGTTCAAACCCCACATGGGACGACACTTTGTACCCACATCCACAAATTGTTGTTCTGAGTCTGGGTGTTCTGTGTGTCCGTTTCATGTATGTTTGTAAAGGATACGCGACACAGGATATATTCCTAATGCGGGCATTGTCTTTAAAAAAAAAACTAATATAATTCTAAGACGTTAAATTCAAAGACAAGTTATATTGCTTCGTCATCGTCATCATCTTTAGTAGTCCACTGCTTGACATATGCCTCTCCTTACAAAGGAGATATTACCGTACTCTGTCAAGCTCGATCAAGCAGTCTAAAAGTTTCGGTTTTGAAAATTTGGCAATTACTGTCAGTTCCATGTTTATATGTTTATGTACTGTTCATTGGCATTGAATTATGTTTCGCGTTACGCGTCATATATTCCTATCGAAAATAATAGGGATGAGCTGGGCAAAGATTAGTCCATTTATTTCTGTAACATGATGTATAAGTCTGATGTCTGTTTGGAGTCTGTTAGAGGACTTGGAAGACCTATTGTTTGTACTTTCCAATCTATCCATATAAGCAGTCCAAATAAGCAATTATCTCCCTTTCATATTGATTTCTCAAAATTCCCATGTGATGCCTAAAGCCTGATTGAAGATTCTTGCCCCTAGCAGGATACATAAACGTATGTTTAATAATAATAGAAAATATAATTATAAAAGAACATATTTGTGAATTCTACATTTTCAGCTGAACACATCGTGGGATTACGGCACATAAGATACTGTAGGTCTGTAGTTTAAATATAAAGAGCCTTACAAAAGTAAAAAAATACTTTATTCTTATTTTGTACAATCTTATTACATCAATCATTTATAACCTCTTCTCTTTCTATTTTCTCTCTATCCTTTTACTTTCTAATTATCTCTTTCGTACCCTGCACATATTTTCAGCATATGCTTCAGCTTCGACTAATATTGACATTATGTTTTAATCCAGTTGCTCTATCATTTTCATTTGTCCATATTTGCGTAATATATTCTCATCACCGTCTTCATAGTACTATTCATCATCATCATATACCCCTATACCCTCTTCTAGTCGAAAACTGTTCACAATTAACAGGCTGTAGCCTTGTACTGAAAAAAAAATATTATGAGGTATGAACTTGTAAGTTAGTAAAACGTAGGCGAAATTATCAATACAATTCCTTTAAAACACTTAAGGGCCTCCTACACTACGAGAAAAAATGTAAAAATTGTTAGGAAAGTAGTCATAGTAATTTTGTTTTGTTTGTGTTTATATAAATCTATACCTGCCCAAAATCAAATTCATTCTAAAATACATTTTATTTATTTATTTTTTCTATTTTGACCAAACCTTTGACAGAATAAATTTTTTTTGGAGCAATTATAAAGAAATTGAACCCATAGAAAGAACAAAATTATCAAACAATTTTCGGTCCTGAATGGGAATCGAACCCACAATCTCTGACTCAGCAGGCAGGATCCGATTACAGCTAGAACGACGGGACTATCAACATTGAAAAGTACTTACTAAACAAATTCAATGTAGTTGATGTGCCTAAAACAAAGCCGTCGGGACATATTTTTGCTTTAGGAGTCTCAAAAAAAACTAAAATAGCGGTGATTATTGTAAGAATCATTGCTTTTAATATCATGAACATCATCACCATGGTCGGGTGGTCACTTTTTTTCTGTAAACAGAAAATACATTATTGTAAAACATGTTAGTAACGAAAAACGAATAAAGTTACTTGGCACTAACCTATTTTTTATATTTAGAGATTTATTATGAAGTAAATGTAATGACAAATCATTTTCATATCTAAAGTTATGTGAGTTGTACCATCTGAATTATGTCTTTGTTTTTTAAAAGCATGAGCTTCTCACAAACTACAAACACTTGAGCAAGTAATGTTCTTAGGTATAAGGTTTATAATAAAATATATTTTTTAATAACTAACCGAGCAGAGGCCGTATATGAAATAAATACAAACACCAATTGAGAACACGTACATAGCACTAGTGGAAAATATTATTATTTTTACAGAAGTATCTTCAAAATCATAACAACGATATACTTCGGCGGTTATAGAGGGTACCTGAAAAATACAAATGAAGTTCTAAGATATTGCTACTTATTATGAAGTGTTGAGAGAAGAAGAACCATCTCTGTGTATGAAAGTTTCCGTAAAAAACGAGTCCAGTAAGGGTGGCGTTGTGGTAGCCTTGGATAAATTTGTATCTACATAAATAATAATTAGACACTGTGTACTATAGTCCCTCAACCGTCCCGCGGGGTGACAGACGGTGGCGGGGACGAGGTACTCAAGATGTCAGCGGGTAGCAGGTGGTGTAGCAGGGAAGGGAAACACTTCTCTTCGTGTGTAGCCGTGTGCTAGAATGACGCGCTACCTCGCCCTCGCCACTGTCTGTCACCCCGCGGGACGGTCGCGCACGAGATTGCCGGGTTATAGACTGCAAAATAGTCAATGAGTTTTACTGACAATAAATATACGTGTAATAACTTTCAAACAATTAAAGTATAATAAGATTTCAACTCAGCACACTTCACTCCTTCTACAACAGCAGTATATTCATATCGTAGTTTTTCGCACGCCAGCGACCTCTATTTTCAGTTTACAGATGGACACTTTTTCAACTTTCCCCCTTAACAGATTGTACTCTTTGCCTCTACTCTCCATGGTACTTATTAAAGAAAACCCTATATTATTCATATACTTCATAAGAACAAAACCATGCAAATATAACGAATTTAGACACCGTCAAACTGTATACCAGTTTGTTTGTGATTAAGTTTATGAGCTGTAATTTGTGTAGCTACTTTAATGTATAGTAAAAACATATTTCAATGACATCTAGCGAAGACAAGACGAACTATGTACAGATAGTGTATCCAGCAATAAAAGTTCTAGTGCTGCCCGGTTATAAAAGGAGAGATTATTTCACAATATTTACATTTTTTCTGTTAGAAATGATTTTATTGAGAATATAAGAGAAATGAGAAGAGATACCATTGTTGCGAAAAATATAGCGCCAAAGGCGACTATATAACAGCCAATTTTCAGACGAATACAACCACAACATTTTTCTACGGAAGGAAGTTTATTGAACCACTTCATGTTTTAAAGGAAACTGTAGATTTTATCATATTTTAGCCCTATTTTTTAAACACAATCATTTAAAACAGGATTAAAAAAGTATTAAATTTTTTTTGAGAAATAAAAATAGAAACGTATGCCTATCAAAATTTTGTTGATGTCGCATGACTGATGACAAACTTACTGTAAAAATCCTTTATTATTACCACAGACTCATATCAACGTCATATTCATCTGTCATTATATAACTACTCTTTCCATAATTTTTTTTTCTTAATTTAATAAAAAGTCAATTAATGAAGACTATAAAATGTTTCCGATTTGATTTCAAATAAAAGTAGATTTTGTATGAGTTATTAATCGATTTGAAAAGAGTTTATAAATTCAAGATTGTCTTAAAAATCAATATATTTGGTCCGCGACACTGTTCTATTAAGACAGTATTCTAAAAGAATACTGATGATTTTATGTATACTTGTGGAGGAACGGGTGTTCAGTTCCTCTAACACAAAGGGAGGATCTTCCGACCAGGCGAGGTGATCACGCCTAGCGGACTGCAGCCTAACGATTGATGTTGGGGAATAATATATTTATTTTTATTTATTTATTTGTAACTTTATGCACATTTGTACATCGGCGGACTTAATGCCCAAGGCATTCTCTCCCAGCCAACCTTTAGATCGTGTAGAAATCGTGAGTGGCAGGTGCTATATATGCTGACTGGCGTGAAATTGCGTCACACGAGTGTGACAATCAGGTGTGACCACGAGTCTGCAATGGAACTTTTCATATCGCGATGCAGGATTTTTGCGTTACTCCGTAATCCGGTGTGTTTTGGTTAGGTGGTACTAAATAATGTTTGTGTTATTGTATGTGGAACGTGGTACATAAGCATCCATACATAAAAATACATGGTAGCTGAGTCAGAACTACTGCAAAAACTGGAGGGTACTTTGAAACCATAAATCACGTATGTATCCATTTTTAGTTTTTAACACACTTTTATTAGCTTCACCTGTATGTTTGTTTGTTTGTTTGTATGTAACCGACTCCTTTGAGCTCGATTTTGCCCTACTTTGAACGATCAGATTTGATTCAAACTTTGCACACCTGTCAAAGGTCGATGACAATGCAATAATCAATAATAATAATTTTCTATTATTATTATTATTATTATCTATTAACTAAAAAAACACGCTTTTATAGAAAATCCAACTAAAAAACAGAAAATAAAGTTTAATAAATTTGGATTAAGAATAGTGTAAATTTGATTAAGTTTGATTAAGTACAGTGTAAAAAAAAAATGAATGTACATTACAGTAAAAAAAGCGTGGGGTGCATCTGAAGTGCTTTTTATGATATTATCAAAGTGATGATTTTTCTACTCATCTGACAATAAATGTTTATAACTATTGACACTATGCACCCCACGCTTTTTTACTGTAATGTACATTCATTTTTTTTTACACTATACTTAATCAAACTTAATCAAATTTACACTATTCTTAATCCAAATTTATTAAACTTTATTTTCTGTTTTTTAGTTGGATTTTCTATAAAAGCGTGTTATTTTTGTTTTTTTAAAGTATTATTTATTTTTATTATTTACTATGAATTTAATTGAGGACTAAGGTAATAACAAATCACTCCAAATCGACAAATCACTCAAAACCAAGACATTCAACCAACGTGTTCTGCCTATTCTCACTTATGGATCCGAAACATGGCCTCTCACCAACGAGCACACATGTATGCCATAAAGGTTGTATACAGTTGAAAAAATCATATTTTGCGTAAATCATTACGAAACACCGAACCGAACCGAAACCTGTAAGTATTCATAAGGATCACTTAGTTCAGCAAATATAAAAACATTGAATTACTCATAACTTATTAACAACGTTTTTGGTGTATTTGTATTATATTTTATCATCAACAGCCTTTAATAGTCCACTGTTGGTCATGGCCTCTCCTTAGAAATTAGGTATTATGATATTATTTGTACAAATGTATTCGGAACAATGAATATTTTAGAAGATATAGGGGGCTTAAAATACGGGGGCCTAAGATAAAGAAATACCATCCTTTCTTTATCTTAGACGGGGGCAAAGCGGCTGACGCCGCTTTTGACCGTACGTTTTTCGCGGGTGACAGCGGTCGGCAGGATCGGAGCGGGCCTATAAATATTGCATATAAAGAGGTCTAGTATAAGTCTTAGCATAATAATATAATTCATTACTCCACACTGACACCACATTAGTAGTATAAGTAGTATCTACATTGCACCCGTGCGAAGCCGGGGCGGATTGCTAGTTAATCAATAAATAAAACAATTATAATTGACGTTTTAATTGATACTCAAAATTACAGTAGACAGTAAGTGAAACATTACAGTAGACATTTACACACGATTTTAACAACACTTTTCGAGATCATTTTGACTCTCAGAACAAACACTAATGTCTTATCCATTATTGACATATGTTTTACATTCACAATACCATCACTAGCGGGCGTGACATCTTTTTCATTCGTCGTTTCAAATTATAGAATTGATCACCAAATCAACTTATTCATTTTATAATCTGCCCTACTTACATTTGAATTTAGAACGCGTTCATATAATGCAATCACGTTTCGGTCACTTGTTTAAATTTAAAAGTAATCACGTTTCTAATATCGTTTGTCATAAGTATTTTTTCCATCACACAATCAAATTTATAGTGATTACGTAATGGTGGCATCTTGTTCCTCTCACATCCTCATCGATTCACAAGTTGGCTTCTAACCACAGCAAGCTGCCCTTGGGAAATTGCAGCAACAAGGATTCGTCGTATAGCACGTAGGTGGGGAGAAAGTATTGCACGCTGAAAAAAAAGCAAGGTAACTAATAAGGTCAAGCATGGATGATATTGTGGAGATTCGTTCTACTCTGAGTAGTCACCATCATCAGCCTTACGGGTTGGTATATGGTATGGTCCCTTCGCAGTGCTGTTGTCCTGCGTAGTTTGCTCCCTTAGTTTTGCTAAAGGCTCTTAAGACACCCACGGGATGAATAGGGGTGTTGACACTTGACACTTCGCATTCCTAATCGGTCACCACACGGTAGTACATAATTTAAACTAAAAGCCTTACCTATGTAATTGTCGTTTTGTATGACAGACCTTGCACCTACCGACTATTACTTTTTCCAAAATTTAGACAACTTTTTAGTGGGTAATAAATTCAATTCCCGAGAGGCAGTACAAAATGCCTGTGAAGAGTTTGTTGCCTCCCCTCTAGCTGATTTTTACAAGAAGGGCATCAATAAACTGCCAATGCGTTGGCAAAGATACGTCGATTGCGTTGGTGATTACTTCGAATAACAGAAATAAAAAAGTTTGAAAAAATAAGTACTTTCACTTATTGCATACAAAACGACAATTTCATAGGTATTAGGTAGGTAGGTAGGTAGGTAGGTATTCATAGGTAGGTATTAAGACCTATTATAAAGACACTTACGTTTGCAATCGCCATAGCTGCAAGGGTTCATGTATTGTATGCAGTCTACACCAGGAGCGGGGAAAGACATTCTGTAGGTCGTTGCCGATTCCAGCTAAGAGAAATTAGAGAAAGATCAGATATTATGCTTACAAATAGATTATATGCAGTATATGTGAGTACTCTTATTATATATGATAAGAAGCGTAAAGCGACGATAAGCAGCAATAAAATCGTCGTGCTTGCTGCTGAATTCTGTAGAAATGTATGTTCTAAACTATCGTGCGAGCAGTTGAGATTCGTATCGTTTGAGGTTTGATACATGTTTTTTTTAAACACTTTTGTAACTACTAAAAAGTAAATCTATATTTAAATGTTAAGTTAATGTCCCACAGCGAAACGTGGCTGGGTACAGCTAGTTTTAAAGAAATGCGTACCCTCTGGCATGGTTTTTGGTACTGGCCCTTGCAGGACCATGGCGGCCGCTGCGGCTGTGGTGCACACACAGGTTGATACGACATTTTGTGAATGGTACTGCATTCCATAGGTGCTGCAAAAATTTGAATAATAAATGAAAAATAATTATTTTCATCATTAAAAATAATTCGTATAGCAAAGTAGGTAATGATTCGTATGGCACTAAAATCATGACAAGTGGTCAATTAAGCTTTTTATTTTGGGACGAGAGGGCATTTCCTCATTTTATCCCTTGACAAAAGCCCCCATAATATTAAACCTCGTTAATAAATACTAAACAAAAACAATGGTTGACCAGAAGAACTGTAACAGTTATTTTTTATTATATTTGTATTGCATACGGAGTTGTAAAAAGCGACATCTATTGCCCTCCGTCGCATTTGTTGATTTATCTAAAGTAGTTTGTAACTATAGTATTGTTGTTCTTCGTCCGCCATCGGACCACTAGATGGCGTTTGTTTTGTAGATAAGTCATTTTATTAATTTATCATGATAAATTGTATCGGTGTTATAAGTGACCTGTTATGGTAGGAAGCGAGTTACTTTTGATTTTATTCGTGTTGACCTCGTTGATAATTAAAATGTTAAGTAGGGATTCTTTCTGGAAACTTCACAAACCGAACATATATAAGTCCGGCTTTCAGCCACGGGGGACACTCTCCTAACTCTTGTCTTCCAATCTTAAATAGTGTTTTGTTTATCTGGTGATTTTATTTTCGTAATATTTTCAAAGTACCCACGAAAGTGGTGAGTATTTTCTTAATTTTTCTTGTACCTATTTGTTTCTGGAACCTGATCGATAATATGAGTGCTAATCCATTCGTAGGGTCCCAGATTTCGGGTCAAGACGGTCAGTCTCAGACGGCGTGCTTGTTCATTTGTGGCCTTCTGGTGCGAATTCAAGTTTCTCGGTACCCTCTGGCAAACTGGCAGTCACGCGGCTCACAAAGCAAGCGGACAGCCGTACTCAAGGGTTACGTACTTCTCGTTAACTTTATTAATATCAATAGTGAACTTTCCTCAATACCTAATATAAATAGCCGACTCGGGCGGAAGGGGAAGTGACCTCCTGGAGTGAAGACGAGGAGGCTCCGAGCACCATCAGCTCGGCTCTGACGCGCGCCGCTGCGGTTTTTTTTATACCCACTAATTAATTTATTTCTTTTAATTATTGTAACTTTATTTTTTTTTGAAATATACATGTATGTATGACTGAGGTGTAAGTTGTTTTCCTCTAAGGAGTCCCGTAGGTTTCCCACACGCACACACTTCTGTTCTCTTACAAGGCGCCCTGAGGTAATCTGTGAATCTCTCCACTGGGTTGGCCGGTGAGTAGTCCGCCTGACAAGAAAAGCGGCTACAAAACGTACTCGATTAATATGTCTTTGCTTTATGATATATAGTTATTTTATTTCAGTCGTAAGGTGAAAAGAGAACGGCAGATTCTGTATTCTTAGTAATATATGATAGATAGTTATGAAATTCATACAAGCGGTACGTATTTCATAACTATAAAGTGAGTCATCGTAACTATTTTCATGTAATTATCATATTTTTAGAACTTTGTTAAAATTTAATAAAGTCTTCTCGAAGAATTATTTGTTACAAATGCAATAACTAAACGTTCAAGTGTTGTTAACAAAATGCATGCCTACGTTTCCTGAACTTCCATGCTTCCTTCTAAGCTATTCTATGCTAACTTACATAGAGATCAATGAATGAGCATTTCACAAACAATTCTCTATTAATAGTTGACGGTCCAGATTATGCGTAATAAGTATTAAAGAAACGACTATTTTATATGTAAGAAAGTAATAAAACTATTTGACAGGGCAAAATTTTATTGACGGATCAAGAATATCGTAAACTCCATGGTAAACGAATAATGTTGAAAGATATTTAAGTTAACTTGTTGGCAGCAATTACAACTCATTATGACAGCAGACTGTCATAATGGTATCGATGTCGGTACGCCTATATATGCAAACTATAAATAACTTTTGAAAGCAAAAGTTAAAAATCTGGTCATTAAAACTGTAATTGTTGATGATATTACCAGCCAATCCTATAGAAGTCTGCCATTTTCCTTTGTTTAAAAAGACTCCACGATGAAAATTTTCATTATAACTGATGAAGCAACACCTCAGTAGCGCTATTTCTTTAATAATATGAAGTAGTGAAACAATAATGAACTCAAATTTCCAGTTTTTATTTATCTTCAGTTTTAAAAAGTTTGCTCGCTCAATCCAAGCGGTTGGTGGTGAAAAACACTAGTTTGGAATGAGTCCTTTCATTTTAGCTATAGAGAAGCTCTGTGTGGAGGTTCAACTTGAATAGTCATTTTAATTAAATTATACGCCTCCCTAAGACCCCCAACACCTTTTATCATGGAATAGGGGCAAACGAGCAGGCGGCGGCTGTAGTCGCTTTCCATCAGGTGACCCCTGATGGAAAGCGACTACCGCCGCCCATGAACGTCTTCAACTCAGGAGTCACAAGCGCGTTGCCAGCCTTTGAGGAAAGAGTACGCTCTTTTCTTGAAGGTTTGAAGGTCGTATCGGTCCGGAAATACCGCACCCGATAACTTGTTCCACAGATTGGTAGTGCGAGGCAAAAAGTGTCTTGAAAAGCGCACAGTGGTGGAGCGCCAATTATCCAATTTTTATTACCTCGTTTTGATTTATGAAAATTTACTCACCTGATGCTCTTTCATAACAGTTGAGCGGTGCATACGATGGCGTCACTGGGCAGCGGCCAGGGTCCACATACGACAGCCGGTTGATCGTCCTCCCTGCCATAGGATCAAAGGTATTCAGGATTAACTTACAGTTCTAAATTCTAAAGTCACTGTGAGCAAAATATTTGCAGTTCAAGGAAGTCTATGAATGAGGCTCTGGTTTTACATAATTATGTTTCGTATAAATGTCTGTTCTATTGCCTTTATGTTTCTCTTATATTTCAATTTAAAGGACTTCTTAGTAAAAACTAGTAGCAACTTTAAACAATTGCAGTTGATAAGTTTATATAGATGATATCGTCACTTGATAGAACACTCATTACATCATCATGTGATGATGACAAAGCAGTTGACTATCAAAGGCTGTTGTGTTGATACACAACAGCCTTAGATAGTCCACTGATAGACATAGGCCTCTCTTTAAAAAGGAGGTATTGAGGTATTGGCCTACTATACATCGCTAGCCAGACGGGTTGGTATAGGGTTTGTTTTAACTTTTCCGTCTCATTGCATATTAGGACCAATTTATAGGTACTTTAATTATCTGAATAATTAAAGTGAAACTAACGTTCAAATGGCTGTTCAATACAGTGAAACTTGTGTGGTGGCCTGCAGCTCGGACGTGGTATCGACGGTTTCGGCACGTAGTCGTGGCGCTGTGTCGTAATATTCTGCATGGGACCCTGACCCCACATGTCGTGGTGGCATGGACGAATCGGCTGGGTGACGTGTACAGGATTTGGGAGGAACGACAGCTGGTGACCAAGTTAGTTAGACCGATAAAGACAGACTACAAGGATATGTGGAAGTAACGTTCCATCCTATTTCAAGAGTTGTATATATAACCAGGAAATAACTGCTAGATCGGCATAACGAGGAATTGTTCGGACTAATACCGGACGCAGTCTGCGGTATTTCCCGACTGATACGACCTTCAAGAAAAGTGAGTATTCCTTCCTTAACGGCCGGCAATGACTCCTGAATTGCAGACGTTCATGGGCGGCGATACTCATGTGAAACGTCTGCTCTTCTGCCCGTTCTAGCATAAAAAAATAAAAATAAAATTTCTTTTCAGTGGGAGTGCAATACACACAAATATGGTTTATCCGGAGTTATACCATGGTCTCACGTATAACCCCTGTTAAGCCATTCTTTCTTTGCTTTTCATTGAGTAAGTAATGTAACTCCTCCGGTAATCGGATGGGACCGGAGCGAGAGGAGGTTTAAATATCATCATCATCAACAGCCTTTACTAGTCCACTGCTGGACTTAGGCCTCTCCTTAGACAGGAGGGGTTTTGGCCTACTATACCACGCTGGCCAGGCGGGTTGGTATAGGGTTTGTTTTAAGTTTTCCTTCTCTCTGCAGTGCTGTTGTCCTGCGTAGTTTGCTCCCTTAGTCGGCTCTTACTTAGTTGACTGTAATAATAAAGTTTTTATTTCTATCAAGAGTTGATGACCCATTTAAAAATACAATTAAATGTAACCCAAAAAATAAAACACCTTTTGTATAGTACAGCTTTCCATCGGCTCGCAACTCGGTACCAGGTTCGGTAGAGGTTTGCGCATCATACCCCTGAGATTCGAGCATCCTGTAGCTGGTAAGTATGACATGTTGTACGTGGTGGTAGACTGCATGGGTGCGCACGGCCTCATGTAACAGCGCCGCGGTGCATACGAATCTGGGATACGGGGCTGTTTGTAACACTGCAAAATAGGACAGCAACAAGTTGAGAAATTGAATACTCAGTAAACTTTTGAATAAATAAATTCTTGAACTTGATGATGTTTCAAACTCTAGTTATGTGAAAAGTAATGCATACAGGCCCAAACATTGATGGCCTACGACAACAGGAATCACAAGCATAGTTTCCACAGTCCTGTTTCCCGTCGATAGGCTTATCGTCGCGAAGGCCAGACTTGATGCCTGCGGACATGGCACACGGTGCCGCTGCTGGACATGGTACACAGCATCTGCTTCCAACAGAGATGATTAAGAAATACGCCTTATATTTATTATTTATCAAATGATTTGTGAATCGCTAGTAGATACCATACAAGTATTCCAAATACTACGCAAAGACATTACACAATATGATGATTGTTTCTTTTGTATGATTATTTACAAGTACGTATATTAATGACTCTTTTTTATTAGATTATATCTGTATGTTTATGAAATTATTGTTTAAGTAGCATTTAGAGGCATTGCAATCAGTGTAACTTTTTTAATGATTATGAATACTACTCAGATCATTTATATGTCTAGATGGAGTGTCTAAAACGAAGAATACGAGACGATAACGACAAGATAAATAACAAACATGGTGACAGCGGTAAGGTACTTAATAGTCAACAGCTGGATACTATTTATTTCAACGCTTTCACAGGGTTGGCGATGTAAGTCTACTTTATGATATTAGAGGACAAATGTACTTACGTAGCCATGATAGTGTAAATCCGATGCAAAGAAATAGAAACTAAAATTTTATAAAATCTAGCAAAATATTTTACAGCATTTCAGATTAAAACAAGGATTTCGAAACTTAGATTTTGAAAATTTTAGTCTAAAGTTTATTACTGAGGTGTTGTAAGGGTGACATATTTGGAATTGTCATTTGTTTTCTTGTTTTTTCCAAAGCGTTGTAGTTGAAACAAAAAAAATTGTTTATCAAAAATAATTTATCAAAAAAGTTTTGTTTTACTTGCAACAAAACTGTTTCAAGGTCAGTTTAGTAAAGTAATTTTAATAGTAATAGTTTATTTATTTTCTCTCACAAGGCAAATACGAACATTTATAGAGGTATAGAATTGTGAAATAAATAAGTCGTTTGTAAGTGCGACTGTTAAGTCGTCATCACTGCATTGGTATTAGACCGTAATCATTCGTACGAACCTTAACATACAGTTCTCTAACAAAGCTTCCAAGATATCTGTTATGCATTTCCATGCATCAACCTAGGTAGAAATACCTAGGAATATTATGATCATGGCGTTGGTTGAACAGCTTCATAAGAACATTCTATACTCCGCTTTACAGTCGTTGGTTGCTACTAGAGTATCACGACTTGGAATTATAATGGCCTGCTCTTTGTCATCGTAATTTAATCCAGAAACTTATGAGAACTTAGTAGAACTTGCCAGCGATTTATTTGGATAGATGTCTTTGATCCATTAACGAGATGTCAGCATTGCTTGAGACATGGCGATTTATGCTTCCCAAAGTCATACAAATACTATTTATACTACCTATTATACAAATACTTTTAAACTCGGGACAGCCCGTTTCTATAGGAAAAAACAATTCCTTTTTGTTATTGATAAAACTAAAGTTTTTCAATAGTCAACAGTCACTATTGACCTAATTTTCTTTAAATTCACTTAGCTTTGAGACTTAAAGTCAGATTTTCTGAAATCAGAGAAACAGAGATCAGAAGTCGGCGGTAGCCTAGTGGTTAAGGCACTGGACTTGCGATCAAGAGGTCGTGGGTTCGAATCCTGACCGGTACACTACCGACGTGAACCCATTCCTAACACAAGCAATTTAGCTTAGCTCGAGGGTTTAACGGGAGTACTAGTAATTTCGGTTGCTAGTAGCCTTTAAAAGCAATATTGAATCATTTATATAAGTTTGTTTATCAGCGGTCTGGTTACCATAGTTCAGGCTCTGCCTAGTTTAGGATCAGATGGCCGTGTATGAGGTTATTATTATTTCTTTTGTATTACATTTTCGTACATTATATCACGTATCAAGCTACGACCCTTAGGAGTAGTCACTATAACCATTGGTGAATGCGGAGAATGGTAAGTAATATATAAGGTGACGTCATCGTTATATAAATTGCTGTAGTACTTGGTTCACAATACGGACATTCAGAAATTACGGCAGTTGAAACGTAATCGTCTTCGACGAGAAACCTTTAAACTGTTTTGTATAGCAGTGTATTCGTATGTATTATGTTCGTTATACTCATTAAGAACATAATACATACACGAATACTGCGAATATCTATACCTATAACTTTTTGTAGACTTGGAAATAAATTTACATCAGTATATTTATTAGTGTTCTATTCTAGTTTATGGTAAACGAGCAGACCGGTCATCTTACGGTATGAGTCCCTCCCCTCACTACCAGGATTAGGTTTGGGGCTTCACCTCACTTACTCGGTGAAAATAAACGAAGTAACTGCTTAACACCGATTTTCTGTGAGGCCATGGCATCACTTCGATCGAGAATGCCGATTTGTGCCGAAGCATGACTCTTCCACAAATAGTACAAAACTAAACCGTCGAATATCATATCAAAGTTCTAAATGTGCATATCCATTAATTGTGTCCGTGTGGTGACGGATTCAAAATTCAAAAGTACCTATTCATCCCGTGGGTGTCGTAAGAACAACAAAACCTATACCAACCCGTCTGGCCAGCGTGGTATATAGTAGGCCATTACCTCCTTTCTAAGGAGAGACGCCTAGAAGCCTTTAATATTCCAATGCTGGGCATAGGCCTAGCATTGGAATATTAAAGGCTTCTACTGATCATATCAAACCATTAAGACAAGGACTAAATATAGCTTTTATTTCATTTTGATCTCGATCTTTACATATAAAGTGTTAAAACGTGAAGAAAATTCTTGATACCCCTTTTAAACCCTCTTTCAAACTGGGCACTCTGGGCCTGATTCCTGCCAGATCACTAATCGAAAATCAATATTTATCACCGAAAAACATATTTTTTTCTAAAAATCCATTTGTAATGACTGACTACAATACTTTTTTGTCTATTCTAACAAAATAGTGCTCAGCTAAGTTTGTAGGGGCCCCATTATGCTAATTTGCCCAGGGCCTCCAATAGATTAGAGACGGACCTGTAAACAAATATAGTGCATGTCAGCATCTCATATTGGGAATACTTAGTAGTTATTTATGTACTTAAAGTTTATTTGTAGTGTAGGGCGACCACAGACCAGGTGGAGTGACGATTCCGCAAGGTGGCAGGAGTTGGATGCGAGAAGCCGAAAATTGATTGAAGTGGAGTGTAATGAGAGAGGGCTATGTCCAACAGTGGACTGAGATAGGCTGATGATGACATATGAAGTTCACAAAGTTACTTTTGAATATTTTTTAATTTTCCCAGACTACATACCGGCCAATCAAACAAATCAAGGCATTCAAATCGAGGAAGATCTCTAGTTCTGTATTTTAGATTTTAGTTTGTATAATTCTAATTCTACAATCTAAAAATATAATATTAAGTAAAATATTACTATAGAGTAGTAATGATTTTTGAAAATGTTTCAGATTATTAATAATTTTTCATTAATAAGAGATTGATCTCCGCCTATTTTTATAAATGCTTTTCCTCTAAAGATAAATGTATGTGTGTGTGACGCTATAAAACTTTAAAGGGATGTTGTAAATTGTTGGCATATATTATACTCAGGTGTATTCACTGCCAACGCCCTTTCTGTTAAGGGTAGGTGATAAAATTAATATGTGAGTACTTGTTACACACGTATGCGTGCTTTAAAATTCAAGATGTAAAAGTAAATTTACAGACGTCTCATTTAACAATGAGTTTCGTTACTTCATTAATGATACATGTTTACCTCAATTACGATATATTTTATTTATTTTACATGGTATAACTAAACAAAAAAGTAAAAATAAAACAAATATCTTCGGCGTTATTGTACTAAAGAAAGGCCATATTTTAGAGAAAATTTTATTACACTTGTTTTAAGATGTCTTGTCTTGTCTTCAGTGTGAAGTCGACTAGTAAAACTGGAAATAACATTGTATCGACTTATCGTACCAGTACTGGTCAATAATGCTCATATAAAGCGGTTTAGGTGGTTTTTTGCTTATACTTTGGTTTGTTTCTAAATTATGTTTACTAGAATTAGAACTAACTCGTTAAATTCCGTAAACATAATTATATTTTATAGAACGCGATATTTTAAGAATTGTAAATTGGTTCCTATTTTTTTTAAATTTACGTTTCTACACTTGTTCCACACATTATCAGTATTCTAAATTTATTATTTTTAGCTGCGAAAAATATACTTAAAAATAGTACAAAGATTTTTTTTCACGTTCTATATACCTATGCTGTACCTTTGGAATAAAATAGTTTTCGTGATGTCCAAAGACTTACCAAGAACTTATTTCTATTAGTTAAGAAGTAACCATGTTTTGCAGCGCTTGGCTAAGTCCCATAGAGTATTTAGTTGACAGTTGTTAGTTCATCATTAATTTATTAATCGAACTTTCAAACAGAAAATAAAGGAATGGACAGAGTATTAAACGATATTCACTTAATTCATCTTTATAATAAAATTAAAAGTATCAAGATATGTTGGTCGGTGTATCGTGCGCAAATCTTTCCCTCCATTTCACTCGCTACGTCAGTCCGTAGCGGAGCCTCGTAGTACCCGGGTCTACGCTGGCTCTACGCCAACATTTTCATGTCAAAAAGCTTATTTTCTCAATTAAAACCGCACCCGTTAATCAACACAAGTGTTTTAATTTTGCAGTTGGTGTCTATTGTGATATAGAAACATTTGCTAAGCTGTTTGTGGTGTGTCTAATTGTGTACGTTTTGGTGACGTGAGAAAACGTTATTTTTTTGTGTTATTGTAATCTGAACGTGTAGGCTAATATCGTGCTTGGAATGGCGTGTGAGTATATTATTTTGTTGTGCAGTTTAGTTTTTTATTAATTTGAATAAAGGCTGTTGCCGTGTGACAAAGAACGCAAAAATGACTTGACTAAATTACGCAATTTAGCTAGAAAAATAAAAAAGAAGGAAACAAAACATTTTTTTTTAGTCAAATCACTTAATTTTACTGAGTAAAAATTTAAGCTGAGGAATTTAAGAAACGAACCACAATCCATAACATGGAACCTTAAGTGTCATTTTCCATGTAAATTACAAGAATAAATCTAATTTTAGAACAAAAGGCTAAAGAAATACAAACTACATAACAACAAGTTGTGTCAAGACTATTTAAATAATGTTCTTTTTTATATTTTAATCATCTAGTTATGCAAAGTACTACGTACAAAGCGTCCACCTATAGTTCCCTAGGGAGATGAAGACAGTAATTCAGATTAAATTAAAAAAGTCTTTAGGAGCTTATGGAAAATATTCCGGAAAAAAAATCGTGTACTATTTCAATGCGTATATTAAATGTAGTTCAAACATTTAAAAAAAATTAAGCAGTTACCGAAAATTTTATGAAGAAATACAAATACAACAACGACGAAAATAGAACCAACAAAATTCAGCATGTAAATTACAATCTCAGTTTCGATAAGCTAGGGCGAAGGATCAACCTGATATTACTCCAGATAATACAGCTTGCGTTTGTACTTTGAATAATTTATCCTTGATAAGCTTAATTACGTAGTAGGAGTAATTTCATAAACGACGTTTAGTAGTGA